CATTTGTTGATGGCCCTAGAAGGTCAAACCTTTATCTTCTCGCTATGAAGAGCGACAAGTGGTAAACAGAGGTTGATTAACGAAGCGAGTATATGCTGCCCAATGAATGCGACAGTTGCGAAGGTCCACGGCCAATATCGAAGTCTGATGGAACCGTGGTAACTATCAACAGATAAATTCCACACATCGATAAGGCAAATTCTACTATCAGAAAAAAATCTGAACAAAATCCTGTGTTGAATGATGAGATGATAATCGGCTGTAGCTAATTCTAGGGACAGCCACAGTAGAAATCTTTCCATAATGTCATTTGCCCTCCTGAAAGAAATGACGTTTCCAGATTGTATCGCATACGGATAAAAGCATGGAATGCCATGGGTAACGAATCGCTAAGGACGGTTGACTGTGTTCTCATGCACTACTATGTTACACTCGAGAGCGGCTATTCAACCTCCCTCGAAACATTGGTTAGCGAAACAGAAAAGCATTGCGTCAATAAAGTCGAGAAGTGAAACTGCCAGAAAAACAAGCGTTGATTTGCGCGACAGGCGATAGACTGTGTTTCCATCCATTGCATAAACATACCGGAGACCTGTTATTCCACCATAAACGCCGGTTAATGAGACAGAATATTAACACAATGACGAAACCCTCATTTGCTGTAAGACGAAATAAAATCTGTGTGCCACAGGCATGGAAGGTTCAAGAGGCAGCGGCCATTGCCCTGCAGCATTCAGAGTAATCTCTGAATAGAACAGGAAGTTAGGTTGGATCAGGGAAGTCTAACGGGAAATTTTCTTTGACTCCGCGCCGCGTATTTAATTAACTGATTATGTTTCATTATAATAGGTTTTATGTGCTACGGCAGTCCAACTGAACAGAGCAAAGATTTAGTTGACAACTATTCTATCCTACATAAAGTCGAGGAAAGAGCTTGATGATCATGTAAAGAATGATAGAGAAAAAATGTGGCATATGCCTCTCCGGGACCACGTTCCAAGCTCACAAATTCGATGACGCTCTGGGTTAATAGACGTGACTTCTGCCCGCCGAGACATCAAGAGATGATGGGCCCGCCAAATGGCTTGCCTGTGAGTTAACCGTTGGACGTTGTGAATTACAAACTACACTCCGCTGGAACACAAACCTCTATTCGGTCATTCGATAGCACGTTGGGCGATTCGATGGTCAAGTCACTTGGCTAGTGGTAGAGGGAGAGGGCAAAGAACAATGAATATTGGTAAAGTGTCGACTTGTGCTCATTGTGTCCTCATGATGACCACAATCTGGATAACGGGTAGCTACTGTGCGAACCTCATTGTACGTATTGAGTGTTGTTTGACTTCGAAGAAGGCTCTTATCATACGTTTAAACGTTGATAATAAACCGTGCTCTGTTGTTTATGACTACCGTTGTGTTAAAAGCCATAGCGTAAAACAGCGTCATCGAATTATTGGCAAGGTTCAAGCATAACTTTTTAATGCATTCAGAAGCCACTGCCAGGCTTGGTCTGATTAATCATACTTTCCAAAACGCAGTGAATAAAATAACACCAAATATTTCATTTCATCGTGGACTACAAGAGTTCTGTTGAAGTACGATTTGTACTGTCTGAAAGGAAGTATTAAAGTCATTCGCACTGGCTAATTCTTAGGATATGATCGAAGACATATAAGCTCGATATTTCTTGCAGACGTTTAAATGCTATAGGCTATTTAATAATTCAAAATTTAAACTAACTCCACCTACCACATAGAATTAGTTCTTGCCAATTTGTGAAAGAATTTTCTGTCTCTTTTCACTTTTATTTTGTTAGAAGCAGCACGTCACAATGACGGTCGATGTCTTTTTTGCCTAATGCCATGTCGTTGTTGCTACTGGACAAAGAGACAAACTTTTGAAGTTCAATTCATTATTAACACAGGCTGCACCATAAGGTTTAGTGAAGGCCGATTTTCTAATCATGTGACAAGCAGTGGTTTTGTCTCGATCCAAGATCTTCACATCTTTGGTATTAATGTGATGCAATTTATCAATAGTACACTTTACAGTAACCGAGTGTTCTTCATTCAAGGTTCAAAAACAGCCATGTATTTTTTTAAACGTGTTTTAACCCGCTTTTGTGATCCTGATGTAAATTTTTGGACGACTTTTATAATTCATTATTCAAACAGCCCAGTTTCAAAGCGGATCCTCCGTTGTAAAATGTTGCTCGTATCAGATGTTGCGTATAGTGCTGCCTTTCTTAGAGATGACTTTGAATCAAACTTTACTTAGATAACGACAGAGGGGTGGAAACAGATTCAGATTGGAAGCTAACGATATGATGTTACGGTTGTGCTTAGATGGGAGGTGAAAATTATTAGTTGGATGAATGATGGAAAAACATGCTATCATATATATCATTTTTAAAGATAATTGATAGATTTTGGATTTCAGCTCGACAAGTCGACGGACTACTGTAATGAAACGTCGTCCTTCTACATAAGGTAAGGACAATGTGTTGTTGTTGAATAGAAACGGGACCTGTGTAGCTTGGATATAAGAAGCGGTTGCAGTTCGGTTCCTTGCGAAAAACGGAAAGTT